AAAATAGCATGTCATTAAAAAAAAATAAATGTGACCTTGATCTGATCTTAGAGACGCCATCCAAGGTCAAACTAAATATCAGTAAATAGCTCCTTTAAAACCTTACAACTTTGGTCTGAAACGTTTCATCTAAAAACATTATTTAAGGCCCTTAGCATAAGGATGACCGTAACTGAGCCGTAGAACATGAATCATAGTCACAGGTCATAGTAACGCACTATATTTTGGCGTACTATGTATGTACGCCGATACAAGTACAATTCACATTTCTTTACGATTAGTTATAGCCATCTTTGTGTTCAGCCCATAAATTCGGGGTCTTTTTGGATACCCTATATAATACATGCTATACATACTGTATGTGCTATATACAGGGTGTCCGAAAAGTGTGGAAACGGTCGAATATCTCGAGAAATACACATCGGATCAGAAATCCGAAAATATACGTATTCAATGTTTTCAAAAAAGCTATCTTTTGACATCTAACATGACCCCCCACCCCCACCCGCTGTGGGTGAAAGAGAGGGTAAGTTTAAAATTTTAAATGGAAACGCCCATTTTTTATTGCAGATTCCGCTTCTTCAGGAAAAGTTACATAAATTTTACCTATTACAAACATTTTTTTGATGATAGATAGTGTTGTAATCAGTGAAATTAAAAAATAAGTCTGAAACGTTTAAAATATCTCAAGAAATATTCAATGGAGCATATTTTCACCCTGGAGATGAATAGGCGGGTAACTTTTCGATTTTGATTTTTTCTTTTTCTGTCATAGCCATTGTAGGTATGTCAAGTTGAATTTTTGGATTCTGGCTTCACATTCGTAATCAGCGATCCCAAAAACCCCCGAGTAACAAGTTTCAATCGAATTCGGGCATATTTTTTGTAAATTTACTCGCCGTACGTAAAATTTCGAAAAATTTTGAGCTTATAGGCGCCATTGTGAACTCAAAATCGAAAAATGAAAATTGTATATATTACACGTTTTCGAAGTTTAACTATCGGGAACACGTTTCTGATACCTTATTACATACAAATGGACCTTCCGATATTTGTCTACGTTCTTTTCTGCTAATTGTTGGGGGTTGAAATCCATGTCGAAATTTAGCACATCTCGGCGTTAAAGGGTTAATACGACTTTTTCTGCAGAAGCGAAATCTGCAATAAAACATGGGGGTTTTTTCATTTAAAATTTTAAAGTTACTTACCCTTTCACCCCCAGCGGATGGTAAGTGGGTGGGTAGAATTTTTGTGTCAATGGATAGCTTTCTTGACAACATTGAATACGTACATTTTTATTTTTTTGATCCTTTGAGTATTTCTTGAGATATTTTAAACGTTTTAGACTCATTTTTTAATTTCGCTGATTACAGCGCCATCTGTCATCAAAAAAATGTTTGTAATAGGTAAAATTTATGTAACTTTTTCTGAAGAAGCGAAATCTGCAATAAAAAATGGGGGTTCCCATTTAAAATTTTAAACTTACCCTCTCTTTCACCCACAGCGGGTGGGGGTGGGGGGTCATGTTAGATGTCAAAAGGGGGTCATATTAGATGACAAAAGATAGCTTTTTTGAATATAATTTTGAAACATTGAATACGTATATTTTCAGATTTCTGATCCGATGTGTATTTCTCGAGATATTCGACCGTTTCCACACTTTTCGGATACCCTATATATGCATATATATGTGATATATATATATACATATATATAACATACATTATATGGTCAATAGCCATATGCATAATTTTCGCTGTACGTCCATGAAATGTATATAAGTATATCATATTCAAAGTGTTTTAGTAAATGTATACACTTATTGGTAAATGCATACATTGACTAACAACAAGTTACAATAAGTATATTTTTGCTAAGTGAACACTCTGACTGTGACATAAATATATCTTTGGATGCAAACATGTATTCGAAATACATGCAAACACGTGTAATATAATAGCACTTTTTCCTTCGTTTCCAATGCCATTTTAATTTAAGATGTAACGTGTATTGTCAACTCATAGATACATCACAAATATATATGTAGCTATTCTATCTCTTTTTATTATGTCTAATGGGCCTTCTACAATAAGCCATTAGTCATATATCAGAAGTCAGATGCTAAAAATTGACAATTATAATTGGTCAATTTTTAGCTTCTGACTTCTGATTCATGACTAATGGATTATTGTAGCAGGCCCATAATAAAAAGAGATAGAAGTTACTCATATTTATATTGTCAATATATTCAGATATAACATAGACATATTAGTGAATATTAGAATTATGTTTTATGTGCATTATTATGTACACACATTACAAAACATAAAATATATTTCTAATTCATATCCACGTACGTGTGTAGCTACTTCATCTCTTTTTGTTACGTGTAACAAAAAAAGATACAAGTTTTTCATGCTCAGATATTCACGCAGATATATTAACACAAAATATTATAATTTTATGAGTATTATAATGCGTGTCTGTATGTATGTATGCATAGATATACTTCTATATATATAAATAATAAATATAAGTAAATACATACATATACAGACACACATTATAATATAGAGACATGTGAGTGAATATTAGAATTATGTTTTATGTGCATTATTATGTACACACATTACAAAACATAAAATGTATTTCTAATTCATATTCACTATGTCTGTTTAGATGAATGGAATTTTATGTACATTTTATATTTTCGATATATCTAAACAGATACAGTGGATATGAATTAGAAATACATTTTATGTTTTGTAATGTGTATACATAATAATGCACATAAAATATTCTAATATTCACTCACTTATCTCTGTATTATAATGTATGCTGTATGTATGTATGTATGTATATATACTTATATTTATTATTTATATATGAGCCCCTTAGTTGACAAGTGGCATAAGTCCAAAATTAGAAAAAATGTGTTTATTATAGAAGCAGAAAGTACTAAGAATGTATGTTTTATCTATCAATTTAATTTACTTATATTTTGTTTTTATGTTCATAAAAAATAGAATTCAATTTTATATCACAAATAAAGTGACCATAAGAATGTCTGTAATAGTGACTTAAGTCCAAGTGTTTGGACGAACTCCATTATTCTACACAACATATGGACTTACATCATTGTTACATTCGACTAAAGGAACGCGATGACTGTTTGTATACAATGTTTGTCACGATGAAGATCATTCAAGTTTATAATATTCACTTCTGCGTTGTAGAACTGTTCAGTATCTTATTAGCTTTGATATCAGCGACATTATATTACTTGTATATCTGCAATGGATAACATAAATTTAAATATCAGAAAAGACCGGAAAAGAGTGAGAAATAGTGACAATTGGGCTAGGAACGTTACAAAAAGACTTCGTAATTCAGGAGTAGAATATATAAATCGAAGAAAATAATGTAGTTTCTGCGAAAAAATTTGAAAACAAAGATTGTAGATGCAAAAAGAAATGTAAAGATGTGATTGAGGAAGAAATACGAAAGAACCACTTCGCTAATTTCTGGAAAATGGGATCCTTTCAAGAACAAAATGCGTATATTTGTGGATGTGTTCAGAGTATGCCTATAAAAAAAAGACGTCCACGGGATGGAAGCAGGTGCATAAAAAGCAGCAATAATATATACTGTTTGCAAAATGTTGGTGATTCCACTATTGTCGTGTGTAAAAAGCAGGGTTGTTGAAAAAACATGTTTTTTTTATTTTAAACAAAAAACATTGTTTTTTTATTTGGCATAATGTTTTCTGTTTTATTTTGTGTTTTTTAAGCAACAAAAAACCATGTTTTAAACAAAAAAAACATGTTTTGTTTCGTTTAAAATGTTTTTTTTGTTGCTTAAACAAGTAAAAATTATTGTGTGAATATTTGAATCTTTCGTCATTAAGAATAATAAATAACTGAAATTGAAAGAATTAGTTATTTTTATTTATTATTATTTTTAATTTATTTTACTATTAACATCCCACACGACACACGGGCGTCCCGTCCGAAAAATGGATGCCCATTTGATATCCATTTTATATCCTATTTATGTCCATTAAAAAAGACGCCCAAAGAGCATCCTATGGGTGCTCGTTTTAGGTTCCCGATCATCTATTTCTGAAACGGACGTGCAATGAGCATCTTATAGCTCCGACACACCATGTACACGCTGCACTCGTTGCAGATTGATTATCGCGCGTCGTTATTATGCTCGGTATTACGTATATGTCGCAATAAAGCTGGCAGCACAGACTTGCATAATACATAACACATGAGGCATAAGAAAATGAACCAATCAAAGTGCTTTATTTCCTTTTTTTCCGTGAAATAAAGATCCACACGTCGTCCATCGCGAGAAAGAGAGAAATATATGTACAGCCATTGACAAAATTATTAGGCATCCTTGCTTTTTCTAAATTTTTCACAACTGAATATGCATAAGCTCTCTATTTGCGTGTTGTTTTCATGCTACTGACTTTGTGAGAAGGTCAAGCAACTGAGGCATATAAGTTTCTTAGAGAAATGATAATATG